TCCGGTCTGGATATTTTGAACAAAACCAAAATTTTGAGTACAACAATCCGAAAATAAAAAGTTCAAAATTCATTACAATCGATTTTTTTTTTTGTAGATTTGAGTTGGGTTTGGTTTTGGCCCATTACGATCCCTTATATATTATTTGGGAAATGATTTTTCCAAAAAAGTTGATGTGTATTCTCTAAAATCAATCTCCCAAAATTTATTGTGACATTGCATTCTCTAAAATGTGACATAGCAAAACTTATGAAACATTTATCCTACTAATTTATCCCACTAAAACTTATACACACTAAAACTAATGTCACAAAATTATTTCAATTTAGCCCACTAAGTAAAAAAAATACATCAATCAATATTTGTTTGTCGTGGGTGTATTTTTATTGTAACTAGGTGAATACCCGCATATACAAGCAAAATTTATTTTATATATATTTGTGATTGAAAAAATAAGTGAGTTGATTAATACAATTTTTTTATCACCCCCTTATACAGTTGTCGTAATCGAAGTATCATCCGATATGATGATCACTAAGTCATAGTATTTTTTGTGTATCTTTTCACAAACTTGATGTTACTGGTTGTGAAAACTAAACATAGTTAAAAACTCTAAAAATGTCAAATGGGAACTCATGATCATTTACTACATCCATGTGCTATAGAATGGCTTATGCATACCTTATAATTTTTCTAAAAAAAATATGGTACTTTTCCTTTGTCATTTGTCAAAGCTCTAATTGGATCCCAGTGTAAGCTTATGTTGTTTGTTTTTGTTTTTTTGGGTAAATTGCATATACTTATCTATAAACGTATTACAGGTTGGCAAATATATATAGTTTTTTATTTTTTACAAAACTCTCTAAAATTTTAAATAGTAGCTTCAATTCTCATCCACCAAGTGTTTTAACTATAGAAAAGCATCTTTATTCATATATAGCTTTAACTTGTGCATAAACTCACGTTTTCATATATGAAGCAATTGACACATTGTTAGAGATTAGTGAAATCTACAATTGTTTATACACATAACCTCAATGGAGAACCAAAGAGAGTTGTGAGCGAATAAGCTAAACGTTTATTGTTTTCACTTTGAAGCTAAAAAGCCCTCATTTTCCTTTTTGTTGTGCTTTACTCAGTGCAACAATCTGATCATAACATTTAGCAATGAAAACCACACAAAAGCTCTAATTGAATCCACAACCACAAAAACACACATACCCATAGATTCTTCGTATCATCTTCTCCATACAAAATCTTCTCATCTTTCCATTGCATTATTTATTTCCTACATCTTAAACAACCTGCTTAAATATTTTCTTCTTCTTATGTTCGCTTTTTACTTCTTCACCTACCATTGAGACCTCAATCTTTTCAAGCTACAATGATGAGACCTGTCTGCAACAATCAAAAATGTTTTGGAATTCTCGTGAAAATTGAATTCGTTGACTTTCTTTATTTTGAATAGAGGAGAGAAAGAGTCGACGTATCTCACCTTTCTATCTCATTTACTTACATTTTTTATTTGATTTTTAATTATTCTTTAAGTGCTGAATTTTTTATTCACCAAGTTTCAAAATAAAAAAATGCACACGTTATTGTCTAAAGAGAATGAAGATGGATTTAAAATAAAATAAAATTGATGTGTCAAAATAGCAGGTGCTTAGGTGTCAACTCCTTGTGAGAGACACTCAACTATTATATATAGGATTAGCCACATTTATATTGAGCCGATTTAGAAATTTGTTTGTCGTGGGTGTATTTTGATTGTACTTAGACACATTTATATCAATTGAACCGGTTTTGAAATTTTTATGTTGTGGGTGTATTTATATCAATTTTCTTTAAGTATTAGACTATTATCAACTCAAAGCATTATAACTTTAGGGGATAATGAATTTTAAAAAATAAAATTTAATATCTAGCCTTATAAAAACAAATCATACTAAGCATTTGGTTAATTTTGTTGTAAACATAAATTACATTGATAATTCATTTAATTACATCGACCGTCATTTTAATTTATTGATATTTAAAAATTAATTACAAACCCACTATTGTTTATCTATCGGATTAATATTTATTATTGTTAACAGAAATACATTCAAAATTCACACCAAATCACGATATATATTTAAAATAACTTCATATATAAACTATC